AAAAATAAGTATCTACATTTCAATTTAATGTGCAGCAAAAGAAACTCAGACAAATAACAAAAGTATCGAACATATATATGTATCAAAATAAACGATATCGGTTCGATTCCTCTTCCAGCCGTCGTAAGACATGAACACCTGCAAAAATTATACTTAACAGAAACGAAGTTCAAAAGATTAAAAATGTGTATTGACCTATTGTTGTTACAGATATTTTATCACATGGACAGCTTGCTAACCCTCGCAGTAGATACAAACGTGTTACATTTTCATATATGGGATATTCTATCTTATATAATACCCATTTGGCCATTTATAATATATATACTAAACCTATATAGTATATATATATATACAATGCTTTTTTGGCGTCCCTTAGACGACCACCTATGACAATGATAGAACAAAATATATATTTGGTTATCGTCGTCCGACTGTGTTCAATAATATCTGTTGAAAACTTCGGGTGGTGACTATGTATATATGAGATACATTGTACAAAATGTCAAAATTTATACCATTGTACACGTCAAAATGGTTGTGTCGGTATTAATCGGTATGTACTGGAAAAAACAGATTTTCAATATAATATTATATTCATAATATACATTTATATATATAAACGTATAGCCATGTGCCATATCTTTAAAACCGAGATACGCTGACGAAGTGCCGTATTTTATTTTTGTTCATTGTTTTTAAATAATCAGATTATATGCAGCTTCTTGTTACAACTATAATCTAGTATATTAATACATGCATATAACATTTAACAAAAGACACTAATTTCAGAAATTTTTTTAAAATATTTCTTCTAGATAACTTTAAATTGTAACAAAAACTATATTTGACAAAAAAAATAAAAATTGAAAGACAAAATACATTTTAAATTTTATATTCGGAAATAAATCAAACATTCCCAAAATATAAAAATTATAAAGATCAAAAAAATAAGCAATATGTAATATTTTAGAACAATGTTGTTCTTAACTACTTGAAATGTAAAAAACTATTTTCAAAAACTATAAATACGATTACGTAGTGTACATAAAACATATAATATAATTTTTTGAAAAACACATTTGTTTGTAGTCTCGAAGATTTTCGAAATTATTTTCATAAGGATAACACGTTGTGAATCACTGCAAGGTTTTTTTTTGGAGCGGATGTTATATTTTCACACCTCGCATTCCAGATTCGTGACCTTCACAATGTATAAAATGTTGTGAAGTACAATATAATATTCTACAAAGAACAACCCCTCGATTGGAATTTCTTTTGTAAACAACAAAATGTGCAGCGGTTCCAGAAGGGTGTGTGTGTGTGTGTGTGTATGTGTAGGTGTGTGTTCGGGTATGGCGTTTGTATCGAAGACGGATTACAATAACTTACAGTGTATATATATACACATTACAAGGAAAAAAACCAGTCTCTGTGCCCGACAAAGTATACATTGGAAATAATTGTGTTTACTGCATTTTACTATATTACATGTGAGTATTTGTACGAATTTTACAGGGAATACCTCAGCTAATTCTATTAATATTAAATGATTATATGCCCTATCCATGGTGTTTTATATTCTTAACCATCACTTCAAAACACTACTAATATGTGGGTGCGCATCGTAGGCCCTGCGCCTATAGCCACCTGAGGTTCCAATGTTCCATGAAATATCTGTATTATGAGGGCCTCACTGCTGTATTTTTCATACTTCCGGGAAGCCGTGATTACTGTCCTTTGATTTTCATATTTCCAAATAATTATTATATCATCTATGTTGTATCGACGAACACTGTTGTTTGAAGAATTTTTATAAAGTCAGACGAGGAAAAAGTAAAAAGTTTATCTTCTTGAAATGATATTATCTACAAATAATTGAAAATTTACCAACGGTTCTTTATTTGTACCTATTCAATATTTAGTTCTCAAATGTGTAATATGTAACTTACCTTTATGTCTCTGATGATGCTTTTTTATACTGTATTACAACTACTGCAGTTGTCGTAGTTAGACTTTAATCTCTGAAAACAAATAATTACATATTATATTGTATACAACATATTTTATAATAATTGTTATTAAGTAAAAAGTAGGGATTTTACTAGAATACATTTTTATCACTGTGTGCTTATTTGATATATGTACCTACTGTTAGTACAAAATAAAAAAGCAATTATATAAATCATAGACATTTTTAGTGTTTTTAAACTTAAATTATTAATGGAGATAAATATCTATAAATAAAAATTCTAGGACTACTATTTTTTCCAAGAATATTCATTTTTTTCTGGCAGTTTTGTGATATGATATACTTTTTATTGCACCAATATCTTGAAGAACTACATTATACATTTTGAAAAGTAAAGTTGTTAAGCTATTTTTATTGTAGTATTTATGTATGACATCTTATAGGCATCCATGTTGTAGGCACTTAATTTCTTTATTCAAACATAATTTTGATAGGTACCAAAATTTATTTTAAAGTATATATTATTTCATTCACATAAAGAAACGACACGGTGGTTATTTTTTGAGTATTAGCATAACTTCTACTTTACGCTATTACAGATTGTTGACTCGATATTGGAGGGACAAATAAGTGTTACCTTACTGCTGCAAAAAAAAAAACTAGTCACCGCTTCAGTCATTTCATAAAGCGAATAAAGTATATTATAAGAAAGTACATTTTTTCTTAGACAAAAATTGAAAAATTAAGGTATAATGATTGTTGCACATTATGAAAATCACCATAATGTTAAAAAATATCTGTAGATTTTATTTTCATTTTTAAGTATATAAGTTTTAATAATAAATAATATTTAAATTGATTTTTTTGACATTTTTATACATACATAAGTGTTGAAGCAAAACAAACTTTACTTCAAATAACTATTATAATTTAATTCATTTCATTTTAAAAATGAATTAAAAATAAGTTATTATGAAACCATTATAGCAATATCATATATCACACGTATTATACATTTATACCTAATTGAACAATCGGACGACAATTGAACAACATTTATGTTATTGTATCGATAGGTAAGTTTTTAAAATAAATGGTAATGAATCTCCGTAGTTTTTATATTGTATCTTATCGGATTTGTCACAAATTGTATAATGTTAAATTTTTATTTGTAGCAGTTAAACTTTAGAATAAGGTTAATTTTTTGGCAGTTGACTTTCTCCAGAAATTATCACAAAAGAAAAATAACTAACATGACTAATCAGCATTTCGATTTTTGAACAAATTATAACAAAAAAAAAATAAAAATATTGTAGCTGACATTATTTTAGCAGACCAATATTTAAGTCGAAAAATACTTAATCCAATCGATTTTTCAGCCGAACGGTAAATGTGTTTGGTAATATTATTGTGGTAAATCGTAGGTAATAGTTTAAGCCACGGTTATAGATATTATATTCATACTGTAGAATGTAGATACATCGTAAGTTATTTGCAGTGATGCCCGTCGCTGCTCTGCGTTTGGACAAACAAAACGAAAATATCCAAAGGCGCAAATAGGGAATTACATTGGCGGGGGCTCAAGCCCTTTAATATATTCAACAAAAATCCTCCCCCCCCTTTCACACGTCACACCAAATAAAAATATTACTATTTTTTTTATTAGCTACGATTATAAAATGATTACTTATTAATGCACATAATATTTTATTTATTATTAACTAGATAATTGGTTACAATATTAATTTTATTCTTGTGTTGGATTTGGCAAAGTCAATTAAAACTGAGACGCTATCAATATTGATGTCTTTTTCAATATTAATTATCCCTAAACTGCTAAATCTTTCTTGGAGCATCGTTGATCGCATCCATGTTTTCAACCTCCTCATTGCGGAAAATGACCTTTCACAAGTAGCGGAATTGATTGGCAAAGTTATTGCTACATTAAATAATTTATAATAATTTGGAAAGATTTGTTTGCTATTCAATGAGTTTAAGTGATTTTGCAGAACTTCCAAATCAACATTAATTTTCAAGACATTTTCGATAACCATCATTTCTGATCTTAAAGAATTTTTGGAAACACCGAATAAATCCTAAACGTTATTATTTACAAATTAATTTTCAAAAGTATACGGTAAATAAAAAGTAGATTCAAACATTCAATAACATTGTTTAGCACAATTTATTAATATAAATACATTATAAATTAATATTAGATTTAGTGTTTATAAAAATAAATACTTCTATGACCGATAAAGTCATGATGCACATGACTGTTTTCGAAATATCGCGCGATATTTATGTTCTCGATGTTTCATAAATCAATTAGTCTATAATTAAAATGTAAAAAAAAAATTATATTGACCATATTCTACACTTTTACAGTCATAGTTAGTAATCGAAAACCACATTTGATTATTAACAGGGACATTAAATTTTAATATTAGAGTAAATATTGGGGGGGGGCTTAGATGGAATCAGGGGGGCTTAGCCCCCCCCCCCCTATGAAAATATCCCTTGACTTTCTATACGTAGTAAACCTACGGAGTGACTACGTAAATTATGTATAATTTAATAAGTTAATAGTTAAGTTTGCCTCTTGAACTTGCCATATAACACCTGGACCTGGTGGGGCAAGTGGGTGCATCCCCGTAATTACGTCGATCAACACACAGTCGTAGTCGCAGTCCGTGACAAATCGGTGTACAAATGTTCTATATGGAAATAAATAATTATATCAATGTCATAATGAATACCCCACATTGTATCAGTAGTATGTGTTTGGGAAGTTAGGCTCCATTTTTACAGGGAGATGAAAAAAAATCAAGTGGACAAATTCCCCTTACAGTGCATCCGATCTCCCAGTAATTTCAAAACAAAAATTTAAATGTTTAACCAGTTACATTATTAATTACCAGACATGATGTTAAATAATACATAATTAATTTAAAATATTTAGTTCGATTTTAATGAACCGTTGAATAATCAAGTTGTGTTTTATTTTTTATTTTTCCGTCAAATTATCTTATTGATTTTTACGATTAAATATTTTCAGTTTTATCAAAAACCATGAATTTACAGAAATTTTCAATCGATTTTCCATCTTTAGTTTATTTGGTGCGAAATAATTCGTATCCAGTCTATTCAGATTCTACAACATTTTTATCGAGATTAAATTCATATAATTCTTTTCCATCCACTTCGTGTCAAAATAAATATACATTAACTGAATCTGGTTTCAGATATACAGGAGTAGGAGATATAGTTAAATGTTTTTTCTGTGGACTTATTTTACAAAAATGGACAAATGATGACATACCGTGGGTTGAACAAGCAAAATGGAATCCTAAATGTATATTAGTTTTACTATGTAAGGGAAATTAATTTATAGAAAATGTAAAAAACGAATATGTAAAAGCAGGTCATATTTGTGATTGTAATCAGTCTAAATCATATGACACCACTAGTTAGTTTACTTACATTAATTATATTTAAAAATGTTGTGCACGCATTACGAAATAAATATTGAATTTATAGACTTAAATGTGTTAGTATTTGATTTTAAGGGGGGTTTACACGAGATTAGTGCTCGGCCGAGTCACTAGAGTAAGTCACTAAATTGAGTTAACTTGAATCATGTGGACACTAGATTAACTACTAAATCTAGTACTAGATTTAGTAAACATTTAAAAAAAAACTGATTCTATTTACTAGGCCGAGTAGCTGTACTAGCCTTATACTGGTCTAGTGTAGACAACACTATCTTTAGTAAAATCACGAGTGATAACAGTATTTGGAGTTATCAATTCGTATTATCAATTTATATTTTACCATGTTTTCAATTTAAGCTTTTTGTTTACTTCTTTACAATAAGTAACTTATAGTTACTACTTACCGACTACAGTTAAATAAGTTTTAATCAAAATTCTTATTCTACATAACTAAGTAACTATTTTGTTGAAATGTCAAATAAATGGAGTGAAAATACAACGATTAATTTCGTTGAAGAATATATGAATCACGAATGTCTCTGGAATGTCAATAATCCACTGTACAAAAACAAACAGTGTCGCGACAGTGCATATAGCACTTTGGCAGAAACAATGAACATGTCTGGGTTTGGAGTTCCTGAAGTAAAAACTAAAATTAAAAATTTGCGTTCAACTTATTCACAAGAATTAAAAAAAATATCTGATTCGAAAAAATCCGGATCTGGGTCTGACTTCGTGTACACACCACAAGTCAAATGGTTCAACATAATGCGAAGTTTCTTACAAGGTACAGAAAAAAAACGAAGTACAATAAGTAATGTAAGTATATTGTATTTTTTATATTTAATTTTAATTGAATCAGTGATAAGCTGTGATAATCAGTGATAAATACATTTTTCAAAACACAATTTGCGAAACACCGTCAAATGCTATTTAAACTTTAATAGATATTAAAGTTTAATTAATAGGTGATAGGTATTAGTAAAACAAAATAAATATAGGAATTAATACAAATAATTTAATTTTATAATCCTGTTTAAAAATCTATCATATGTTGAATACTATTATGTAGTTACTAAAGCAAAATAATAATTTATAATATACATCAAAAAATCATTCTTTCTTGCCAAGGCACAGATCCTTCGTTCATAAAATATGCAGTATATTTTTCTCTCAACAGTCTAGCAATTTGTGATGAATGATTACTTCCAGCATTTGAAATAGGTAATAATCCATTGTGTGATTGAAACCTCCAAGAACCTTCAATTATTTTATACTCATCAAGATTTTCTTCATCTACTAACCCTCGTGAAAAATAATTTTTATTTGTTATTCTTAGCCAATTGTGTAATGCACAACAAGCAAGAATAATTTTGTCAACTGTTGAAACATCACAAGCAATTGGTTTTTCAAAAACACGAAACTTTCCAACTAAGATGCCAAAAGCATTTTCTACAATGCGTCTTGCACGAGATAGCCTGTAATTAAATATTTTTTCTGATAATGTTAATTGTTTCAGAGAGTATGGTTTAAATAAATAGGGTTTTAAAGGAAATGCATCATCTCCTACTATAAAGCCTCCATTTGGTAACAGATTATTTTCTAATGCTTTAGATATTTCACAATTTTGGAAAACTCCCCCATCTGAAAATCTTCCATTACACCCCACATTAACGTATCTAAAGCAATAATTATCATCAACAATTGCCATAAGAACAACGCTATTAGAACCCTTGTAGTTGAAATAATAGCTTCCACAATTTGCAGGGGCACGAATATTGATGTGCTTCCCATCAATAGCACCATAGCATCCTGGGAAATTCCATCTTTTATTGAAACCCTCTTCGATAACTTTCCATTCTTCATGTGTACTAGGCACCTGAAATTAAAGTGAAATTAATAATTTAAACACCTTTATTTTATTTTAGGTAATAACACCAAAGAGGACTATTTCAACAGATGAAATTTATCAAGATATTAGTAATGATGATGACATTATGCAAGATTCTTTGACAGTTATAAATCAAACTTCACAAGAATCGATACAGGAATGTATGTTATCAGAAGGTAATCAATCTAAAGAAGATCAACCCAAAACACCAAAATTTAAGAAAACCAAATTACAAGAAATTTCTTCCACTGTTAAACAACTTCAAAACTTAACTGAAGTTCTCAATACTGAGCCACAAGAAAATGAATTTCAAATTTTTGGAAAACACATAGCATCTCAATTAGAAAAATTATCTCCCATAAATGCATTAATTGCAAAAGAAAAAATTCAGTCTTTATTAACTGAATTAAGAATACAAGAAATCAGATCAACTGATTCTTCCATTTGGGAATTTGGTCGCAATATTAATAAAGAAATGAACTGCTCTGCTGCACCGTCACTATCAAGTTCATCATCAATCAGTACTTTTGATAGTGTTAATAATTATGAGCCAATTCAAAACGTTGTTTTACAGGATTCAGTAAAAAGTGATATATTATCTACAGCTATTATGCATAATTTTCAAAATATGTAATTCACCTAATAGGTTGTTTGTTTTTTATTTTCAAAATTCAAATGAATGATGATTCAGTTTTACGTATGAAAAGTTCTTATGTTTTTTTTTTTAATATTGTTTATTCAAGTATAAATAAAAATATGTCAATACAATTACTAGGTACCTTTACAAAGATGATTTAATTTGATGTACAAAAAGTTATGTTTTTTTTTTGTTAATATTGTTTGTTAGGGTATAGTTAATAAACATATTGAAAATATATTAAGATAATTATTACCTTTATAAAATCTCCCAAAGCCTCATATATTGCATCGCATACTTCTGGAATAAACTTTGAAATAGCTGCTCTTGAAACTCGAAAAGATTGTTGTAAATTTCGATAACTGTTACCTGTAGCTAAATATGATAAAGTAACTTGTAACTTTACACGAGCAGGTATGGCTTCTCGCATTATGGTGTTTGAACGTTGTATCTTTTGGTGGACTTTATTTAATAAAATTTCAAATGTTGTTGGATCCATTCTCATACAGTTAGTAAACTCATGAGTGTCTTCTTCCGCTAATTCTTTGAGAAGTAAATTTGATACTCCATGAGAATTCCTTCTATCCAACCAACTTCGTACCCATATTCGTTTTTTTTTTCATTTTGAACACCATGTAATATTTCTAATAACTGCTCGCATAATAACTGTAGTACATTCTTTGTACATTTTTTTACCAACATTTTTCTTTTGTCCATTTTTATTATAGATTTATACTCAAAGTTTTAAAATGAAAAGAAAATAACTTTCAAAAGAGGATTCTTGAAAACTAAACGAAACTAGCAAAAGTATTAATAGATAACTATAATTTTAGGTAAATATAGTTTACTTATTAACTATACTAATTCACTGGCTCATATTTCTCCTTTTACATGTGAACACGAACTCTCTACTAAATTATTGAACTTTTAGTGACTTACTCTAGTGACTCGGCCGAGCACTAATCTCGTGTAAACCCCCCTTTATACCTTGTGAACTTGTCTAGTGAAATAACTCGTCATGTTTTAATTGAATATACTAGTTTTAAAATGTAATTTACAGGTTCAACGGATCAGGTAAGTATATTAATCCCCCCTCTACACATTATTTGATTTGATTTCACATTCACATTAGTTTTTTATATTCATTTTAATATAATCATATTAATATATAACAGAACTTGAACAAGTTATAACCTCAGTTTTCGAATATGTGTTGTAACGATCATATAAGCGTTAATGACATCCGTGATTCATGTTTTGTTAAGTTGTTATATTTATTTTTATACGTTTTAAGAAATACTCAGCAGAAATCGTCTATATCAAAAAAAAAACACGTCGCAATACAATATGATTCCAGTTGTTGTTTCGAAGTCAGTATTCGATATCAGACCTTTTAGCAAGAAAAGTGTAGCAGTCGGATTGATGGTTAATTTTTATTTTTATTTATTTTTTATTTTTTAGTAGAATATATACAATCTGTAAATAGATTTTTAAAACAAGAATATGAGCTAAGTATTAATAATTTGACATGAGTTACTTGATAAAAGGAGTACCCCAGCGGCTACACTTTACATGATTAGATGGTTAATAAAATTATTTCTGTTATTATATTACTACAATGTAATTTTACTAAAAAAATGATAAGTCTCGATTTACTACAGTGGTATACACTAATCATTAGTGATTAATGTGTGATACCAATTATAGTTCAATAACTAATAATCTACATACCAATTGTAATCGTGTAAAAATAACTGATAACATATATTATTCAGTTAATTTAAATCAGTTTAATATTAAATTGATTATTAATGACAATTTTATCACCTTATCATATACCGATACCGACCTACATCGATTAAAACAATTACAACAATGTGTCGATTCACATATTGTCAGTGGTTAAAGTGGAAAATAATTGCAGGGGGGACTAAAGCTAATGCAAAAAAAAGGCGTCCCCCTAACCAATTTTGTAGCCAAGGGTAAGGCGCATCTCCCCCCTGATTTTTTTTAAAATAATACTTTTAATCTATGTTATTGTTGACCTAATTTTTAAAATTAATCACGTACATATATAGTATGTATATTTGTATACAGTATACACCTATTATTATTTATTATGTACATACTCAGTGATTATAACTCTAAAATATTAATTACCTATATTCCAGCCAGGGAGAGAATGTCTGGAGAATAAGGAAAAATTGAAATAGTTTTTTTTTTATAATATAGATTTTCCAACTAATTTATAATTAAATACCATTTTTTAAACTTTTTTATTTAATTTTTGAATATTGTGTACAAAACAACAATAGTCTCAACTTTTAAATAACAATTTAGAAATATATAAGTATAACATTACTTATAGAAAAAAAAAAAAATTTAATCTTATTAAATACACTTTAACACTTAATTTTTGATTTATGAAGATAAAATATTATATGATATAATGTGTAATTTTAAAATATACTTGACAATATTATGAAAATAATAAAATTATATGAATAACAAAAAAAAATCAGTTTTAACATCAAATTCAGTCTCAACTTTTAAATAAACATTTAAATTGATCCTGGGTAATATATAATGAAGTATTGCCTTATTAATGATTTTCATTAAAATATACATTTATATCTATTAGTACTATACTGTGGTATTAATAATTTATAACAATACAAGTATAACATTATATAAAAAATAAAATAAAATTAACACCTAATTTTTGGTTTATGTAGATAAATAAAACATTCAGTCTTCATTAAAATAAACCTTTGTTTCGGTAATAAATATAAGATCATAACATAATATAATATAATGTGTTTATTCAATTACAAAAAAAAAAATAGCTTCATATATTGATATGTTTAGAACTGATGATTACTTTTGTTTAATTTCATTTTCATTTTTCCAAGCATGACCAAATGGATTTATATGTTGTATCATTAACTTTTAATCTTTTAGGGCAATTTTCTTCGATAGCACTTCTTTTTCCAGATGCTAGCCAAGTTTTTATGTATGGCAATGGTTTAAAATTATTGACAGGTGGACCTGTGCAATTTATAAAAGCCAATGATGATATGTGGTCACTTGTCAGTAAACTTCTTTTGGAGGAAACAATTTCATTCATTGAACTGAATGATCGTTCACATTCTGCCGAAGAAATGGCCAAAGTTTTGACTGCATTCATAAGTGGTTTAATGTTATCATTTAATGAAGAAGGAAAATCTTTATATTCACGAAAGCCTCGTACACTAGCTTGTTCATCTACTTTAAAAATGTTTGATAAACGTCGTATGCTTGTATCACCATACTGAATGTCACAACTATTAGGCCAATTATTTGGAGAAATCATATCTAAATCCGCTAACAAATTATTAAATATTTCTCTCGGTGGATCATTACTCTCTACAGATGACACTTTAGTTGATTGTGTTGTAAACAGTCTTTGTTTTAAATTATTAGCTAAACTTGTAAAAAATTGAGCTGCATTAATTTTAATCACAGAACTTTTATGTTCAAGTATAATACCTTTAAACATTTGTATTTTACATGCATTACTTACTTCTTCATTTCTTGGTCCATTTGTATTAGCCATAGAATTTAAAACTCTAATTGTTCGCTCAATAGATTTATGAGCAATTACAAATGATTGATCTCTCTTTTGAAGTTCAATAGATAAGTCTGATAATTCTGTAAGACCATCATAAAGAATACCTAGATTATGAACAAACTCAATAGGTTTTAATGTATTTCTTAAACCAATATATTTTGATTTTTCTTTTGAAGATCTTTGGTCATCTATCATTGCATTAGAAAAATGTAGATAAAGTGATTCATAATTATTCCAAACTGCCTTTATAGTTTGATTACTAGACGCAACCCAACGAATTGTAAATATTTTACCAATTCTTAGTAATTGTTTATCTAGAAAATTAGCACACTCTTTTAATTCAGTTGTATTTTTTGGTGACATGTGATATAATGAATATAAATTTTCTATAAATGATTGAAAATGATTAACTCCATTTACTTCTTTAAGACAATCAGACACTCCTAGTTCCAGGCGATGATTACAGCAGTGCCACAGTATAATATTAGGAAACATTTTTTGTAATAACACACCAACACCTGCTTTACGTCCCAACATGTTAGAAGCACCATCACTAACAAAGGAAATAAGATTTTTCTTCAAAAACTCATAATTTATACCAAATTTGACTAATGACTTTAATATGTATTCTTTTATAGTAATAGCTGAAGCATTAGGTATTTCTACTATATCAAATAAAAATGTATATATATCATCAGGTTCACCAACAGCACAACGCAAACATATCACTAGCATAGACTTTTTGCTTAATGTAGTAGACTCATCAACTAAAATGGTAATTTTTCTATTATTTTCAATAATATCTGAAGCAATTTTTTTTCTCATTTCCAATGCTATGTGATCAATAATATTTGAGCATGATACATTGCTTTGAAGTACTCTTCCCATGTCAAGCCCATTTAATATTTGAAGATCAGTCATTTTTGGCAAGTCTGTATAGGGACGTTGATATTTAGCAATTGAATAAGCTGTACGGAATATTCTAGCTGTAGATTCATGTTCAGCTGCCTTAACTTTAAAAATATGTTCATCCATAACATTCTTTTCTGACTCAGTAACGATTTTTTAGGCATTTAAATGAGCAATAGAACTTTTGTGTTTAGCAATCTTTTTTCGTAAGTTAGTTTTTTTCTTTTCTAAGCTAGAACCAGATGGATACACCTCACCATTAATCCATTCTGATGACACATGGGAACCTTTATGATCAAGCAAATTTTGTTTTATGCTTTTACAAATTGTACAACCAATATTTTTCTTCTTAAAATATATCCATGGGTATTCTTTTGTAAAATAAGATATCTAAAATTAAAATTAAATTACTTACTATAATCCAAGAACTACAGCTGTAAGCATAAATTACCAGTGTTGGGAAGTTACTGTTTTTTGGTAATTAAATTACAGTACTAATTCCTTATCAAAATTGTAACTAAATTATTTTTAAGTTACTTTTTCTTTATTTGCCGGTCAAGTTACACTTCTTTTGGGTAAAAAAGTAATTCAATTACAATAGAAGTTAAATTTTTAAAACATATCATTGGAGCTTAATATAACCACTTGTTCAATATGACAATACATAAACTAAATATACTAAATATTAAATAATGACAATCAACAATATAAAATTATTAACAAATACTTATTTTGCCACACATTAAATATTAAACTTTTTTTAAAATTTATTTTAAATTAATTGTAAACAAAAGTGCATTTTCAAAATTACAGTCACTAATTTTAGATTGCTTTTTAGTGCATGTATTAAATCAATGAAAGTAACGAGTAATCAATTAATAATTACTACAAAAAAGTAACTCAAATAATATATAAATAATATTTACAATAAAATATAATTAAATTACCATCAAATTACTTAAAAAGCAATTTCGTTATAGGAACTTGTAACTTAAGTAGGTACATACTTTCCAACACTGTAAATTACCAGTATATATATTAATATTGTACTTACTTGTTTTAAGTCCCAACAATCTGGAAACTCTGTATCAGACTCAAATTGCATTTCTTTAGTACCATGATCATCGTCAAGACTAGTTTCGTTTGTTACTATATTTTGTTTGGTAATATTAGGATTTATTTCACTATAATTAATGTTATTATCATTATTGATTACTTTAGTTTTAGTAAAAGCGTACTTTAGTAAACCAGACATAATCCTATGGTATAATAAATAATAAAAAGGTAATTAAAAATAAACAAGCAATAGTAATATTTTTAAAAGTTATGTTCACGCGTTCAATGCCGTGCCGTTAGTCCGTTAGTCCGTATCACCACAACGAATTTCTGCCCGGTCGTCTGTGCGTCGACTATATTTGCTTATAATTTATAAATAATATTTTAATGGAAACCCTCTACATTTGATTAAATTTATTATCGATAATATTCAGTGTATTATTACTGATAAAATCTGTTTGGTCTCTTTACTCCGGGAAAAATTGAAATAATAGATGTATTTTTAGACCAAACACTGAACCAAATACACCATTCAATTAGTAATGTTATCACAAATGGGCCCAGAACTCAGAAGAAAAAATCAAAATAATCAAACGAATATATTTTTACTCTATGTATATTGTATAATGTAATGAACAATCATCATTCATTACCACTTTTTGCGTTACCTACCAATAGGTAGGTTAGTATATATATAGTATACATATATACTCAGATTTAAAATGTTTTTTATACTTTTAAATTTTAATGTAGGTATTAACATTCAGTTTTTATGATTAAATGAATATTTTAACCGTTCCCCGGAAATTAAACTAAAGGGGACGCAAAACTAAAGCTAAGCAAAGAAGGGGAACGCCGTCCCCCTCCGTCCCCCCCCCACTTTAACCACTGCATATTGTTGAAAAGCAGAACAAGTTAGTTTCATATCAATCAACTTTCGATACAGTGTATTCATTAATTAAAGCAGACATCAGTATTCTACAATCATTTTGTCAGCGAAGTGATTTTACAAACCAATATATTCAACATTTTGATTTTAGCGTTTATATTATAAAGAACGATGATTGTTGTTTTATATATGAAATACTTCAATTATACAATAATTCATTATCAGATACACAATTTTAAAGGAATTAATGACATAAAATAAATTTAGTGTAGGTAGATTTTTTTTTTTTTACTTTTTGAACTTCATATCATTCATAGTTACCGTAGAATTTATATCAATATTATAATAAAAAAAAAAAACAGAAACAGGATTAATTAATTGTTATTATATCTTTATTATATGATCATTAAAATGTAAATATAAAAAATTTATCATTATTTTATATAAACATCAATTATTTATAGTTAATGTGATGATTTATATATTTAATAAATTATTTGGTATTTTATTTAATTTTATTATTTTAAATTAATTTTCGTTTCGGATCTGATGAAAATCGATCCAAAATATTCCGTACAAATAAATCCCGTATTTAAAAAGTTAGTGTGTGTGTGTGTGTCGTTAAAATATTTAATCTAGTTACTAGTTCATTCGGATCATCATAATGCAACACGCCTACCTCGGTTATTTAAACTTAAGTGGCTGTCGATATTTATACCTAATTCTATCCAGTTAAGGAGTAGTTGGTTAGCTATTCCCACTACACGAACCGATCTTGTGAACCGGGTTGTTGAATTGGTAAAAATAAAGTTTTCTAAGTTATATTTTACAGGTCCTAGAAACTTATGACCTGCGTTCATAAACTAACACAATTAAACACGATATAGCAACGTATACAAGGTTTATTCAATATTTAGAAAGTAGTAATATTATACAGTACACTATCACCTGAGTAACCCTGTTCTTAAGGGTAGTATATGGAAGATCACAGGAGTAGCGGAGTACGAGTTGAAACAATTATTTTATTATGTTTTATCTATAAGGTAGGTTATTATACCTATAGTAAATCAAATTAATTATGTAACTTAAAAATGTAGAGATGACTGTTGTCTCTATTTCACGATTCGAACTCGACTGGTTGGCTATGCCAGTGATTTATATTATCGTACTCTACGTTCCTGTGTTCTGTCTACCTAAGCAAATTCATCAAGCGCGACATAAATGACGCGTCAGTAATCTGTAAATCGTTACGCCCTCCGCACACGGTGCAACTGTTTTGCAACGAGAATCTCAAATCAGTTGCGCGAGCAACCGTTTGGCGATTTTGCTTGTCTAGCGTAATAGGAAACCGCACACTTGTCGACCAAAACCAAATCGGTTTGTAATCAATTTCCAACTGGTCGCGTGCAACTGTGCTTGCAGGTCGCATTTCGGTTTCAGTTGCGTGGTTGCATTGTAATAAATGATTAATTTATTACTTAAAATGTATTAAAATTATTATTTTATTATTATAATTATTATATAATACCTGAATATTATATTTTGATAAATTGATAATTCATTCACAATGAATGAGCAGTTGGAAAACATTAAATTTGTCGAGGAGGTAGAAAAACACGAAGTTTTATATAATTATAATCTTCCTGGATACTCAAGAAAAGACCTGACAGAAAAAGCATGGCAAGAGATAGCAGCCAAAGTAAACAGGACAGGTATGTAAAAAAAGTAATTAATATAATATGTTCCTATATGCACTTAATATACACGGAGTATATTAAAAACAAGTCTTTTAAAGAAGGGCCAAATAAACGAATGCAGTATTTAGAATAATATTTCAATATGAATTATTACGTTTCAGCTGTTCTAAAAATAATATTTCCCTATACGAATTGTATTTATCTTTATCCAAGCTATATTAATAATAAAGTGTCTAAAAATACCATACAAAAAATAACATGATATACTAGCTGTTTATGTACTATTGTACTATATTGTACTTTGATTTTATTTATAAATTATAATTATAAGTATAATTACATAATAATAATATAATAATAATCATGTTGTCGTATCATATCGTATCGTATTTCTTATTTCTGGTACAGTGTATTTCCATTGCCATGGTAGAGATGCACGAGGAGAAAGAAAATAATTAGATAAATAATTTATAATAGTATTCGCTGAAGATCTTTCATTTATTGTTACCTGCTGTCTTGGTATTATTGTGACTATACCTACTGCGGCTATTTCATGATCTTCTTGCGTGTCTGTGGGCCTATAGACGATACCCTCTCGTTTACGTACATAATTGTGTAGAATGCAAACCGCTTTAAAAATGTCATTCACTGATTCTACTTTTCGACATCGTATGGGAACATTTAATACTTGAAACTTTTCTGCCGCCATGCCAAAGGCGCATTCAATAGTTTTCCGTCCACGGCTTAACCTATAGTTGAATATTCTTTTAACATTGTCTAATGTCCTTTTGGAATAAGGCCTCAATAAATACTGCGATAACGGGAATGCTTCATCAGCTGCAAAGTAGTATGGAAATGGACTATTTGTCTCATCATATGTTAATGGAGAAGGTGAAGGGATGTCGAAACCTCCGTGTGTAATCCAATACTTCATTGCACTAGCTTTAAAAATGCCTCCATCACTGTTTCTTCCCGCGTATCCCGATTCTATCATCGTGAATAATCCATCTGCATCGCAGCATGCCATTAAAACGACAGAATGGTATGATTTATAGTTATAATTTTGTGAACCTGTGTTGGGAAATTTCTCTATTCGTACATGCTTCCCGTCCAGAGCTCCAATGCAGTTTGGGAGATTCCAAATTGACTCAAAACGATCGGCTATCAATTTCCAATGCTCTCTAGTTTGGTACCGGCATATATATTTCATTTAACGTGTCCCAGATTATTTTAGTTGTTTCGTGCACAATAGTTCCAACTGTAGTTTCCCCTCTTGCAAAGTATAATGAAAGAGACACAAATGTACATCCTGTAGCCAAGTATCTGTTAAAATATAAGTAAATATTATTACATAAAAGAAAAAAGCTCTGACATAAAATTAAATGTTTCTAGCTTCTATAAAATAAATAAAAAACTACCAATTGTCGAACCATTTGGAAATAAATTTATTAATTTTTTTAATTAAAAACACACATGGCTTATATTGCTTAGAGGCTTAGAGCACGATTAAATTATAAATACTAGTAGTATTTTAGTATTTATAATTAATGATACCAATGAAATCACGAGATCCTACTAAATAGTAAATAAATAAATAATAAATAATAAATAATAATAAATTTTTTTTTTATATTTATTATTTATTATTTTTATTACAATGATTTTAGCGTCCGAGTGTAAAGAAAAATGGCGTAATCTTCGTACTGTTTTTACACGGAAAATAAAAACTCCGGCAAGTGGGTCTGGTAGAAATAAAAAAGCATACTATTTAACAGATGCCATGCAGTTTTCTATCCCATTTATAAAAACGTTGGTTCCACCGTCCACTGGTAATCTTCCGGAGAAACCGCAAGACGAAACGACTGATGAAACGATAGAAAATACAGAAATATGTGATGGTCCGACAAACTCATCGTACTCAGATCAGTCTTCAGAACTACAACCGCCACCACTTCCAACATCACCAACGTTAGAAGCACCATTCCTATCACCTTCCGCATCACCAGCATCACCAGTACTATCGCAACAAATTAACCATCCTGAAGAACAGTTCTCGTCTAGAAATAAGAAAAACCTGAAGTTCAAAAATAAATCGGCAGTGGAAGCAGATAATTGTGTGGCTGAATACTTTAAAGCTAAAAAGGCGAGATTGGAAGCAAATTTAGTTACTAATACTTACAACAGTGAAAACAAAGAAGCTCTCAAGATGTTTTTATTAAGTTTGATGCCTGAAGTTGAACATTTTAGTAAGGATCAGATTAAATTATTTAAACGAAAAATTTTCAGCGTTATAGATGAAATATCATCCCAATCATCGTCAACATTCTCGTCGCCATCTACTACTTCATTTCCGACAACACACACTTCGCAATCTACCACGTCGTATACATCTGGGAGTACACCATCAAATGCACTTGAGTATTACAGCAACTTTTCTGGGACAGTCGAAAACTACGATGAGGAGTGCGAGTCCAGTTTCACACCATTATAGTTATTTTAATATTCATTATTAATTTCTTAATTTAGTTATTTATTGATATTATGTTATTATTACGATTAAAATATAAGAAATTCAGAACCTTATAATTCAATAAAGACTAATAACACTTACCTCAGAGTTATCAATATTCTTTCTTCGGCAGACACACATTCTCTCATATTTGTGTTCATTTTATGTATATTAGGAGTAACCAACTTTAACAATTCCCGGTATGAATCTTTTGACATTCTGTAGAACGCTATAAACTTGGTATCAGTTTGATTCAGTTCTTCTGCTGCTATAAACAGCCTGCATTTCATATTTTTCTCTATATATGGATGGGTCCAATATTCCCTTCGTACTAATTTTCGTTGTCTACGGTACTGATAGTAGTCAATTATATCATCTTCATCAGAACTACTCGACATATTGCAAAAGTTTAATGTTTAACTATAAAAAAACTTTGAAAAACTTTAAAAAAACGCACGTTCTTTCCCAACATCAATTCGCATACAACTGCG